GTCCTACTATTGGTTGATATTGTCCTACTATTGGTTGATATTGTCCTACTATTGGTGGATATTGTCCTACTATTGGTTGATATTGTCCTACTCTTGGTGGATATTGTCCTACTATTGGTGGATATTGTCCTACTATTGGAGGATATTATCCTACTATTGGTTGATATTGTCCTACTATTGGTTGATATTGTCCTACTATTGCTGGATATTGTCCTACTTTTGGTGGATATTGTCCTACTATTGGAGGATATTGTCCTACAATTGGTGGATATTGTCCTACTATTGGTGGATATTGTCCTACTATTGCTGGGTATTGTCCTACTATTGCTGTATATTGTACTACTATTGGCGGATATTGTCCTACTATTGCTGGATATTGTACTACTATTGCAGGATATTGTCCTACTATTGCTGGATATTGTCCTACTATTGGAGGATACTATTGGTGGATATTGTCCTACTATTGGAGGATATGGTCCTACTATTGGTTGATATTGTCCTACTATTGGTCGATATTGTCCTACTATTGGTGGATATTGTCCTACTATTTTATCCTACTATTGGTTGATATTGTCCTACTAGTGGTGGATATTGTCCTACTATTGGTGGATAATGTCCTACTATTGCTGGATATTGTCCTACTTTTGCTGGATATTGTCTTACTATTGCTGGATATTGTCCTACTATTGCTGGATATGGTCCTACTATTGGTGGATATTGTCCTACTATTGGAGGATATTGTGCTACTATTGCTGGATATTGTCCTACTATTGGAGGTATTGTCCTACTATTGCTGGATATTGTCCTACTTTTGCTGGATATTGTCTTACTATTGCTGGATATTGTCCTACTATTGGAGGATACTATTGGTGGATATTGTCCTACTATTGGTAGATATTGTCCTACTATTGGAGGATATTGTACTACTATTGCTGGATATTGGCCTACTATTGCTGGATATTGTACTACTATTGCTGGATATTGTCCTACTATTTGTGGATATTGTACTACTATTGGTTGATATTGTCCTACTATTGCTGTATATTGTACTACTATTGGAGGATATTGTCCTACTATTGGAGGATATTGTACTACTATTGCTGGATATTGTCCTACTATTGGAGGATACTATTGGTGGATATTGTCCTACTATTGCTGGGTATTGTCTTACTATTGCTGTATATTGTACTACTATTGGCGGATATGGTCCTACTATTGCTGGATATTGTACTACTATTGGTTGATATTGTCCTACTATTGGTGGATATTGACCTACTATTGGTGGATATTGTCCTACTATTTTATCCTACTATTGGTTGATATTGTCCTACTATTGGTCGATATTGTCCTACTATTGGTGGATATTGTCCCACTATTGGTTGATATTGTCCTACTATTGCTGGATATTGTCCTACTATACTATTGGTGGATATTGTCCTACTATTGGTAGATATTGTCCTACTATTGGAGGATATTGTACTACTATTGCTGGATATTGGCCTACTATTGCTGGATATTGTCCTACTTTTGCTGGATATTGTCCTACTATTGGTGGATATTGTCCCACTATTGGTTGATATTGTCCTACTATTGCTGCATATTGTACTACTATTGGTGGATATTGTCCTACTATTGCTGTGTATTGTCCTACTATTGCTGTATATTGTACTACTATTGGCGGATATTGGCCTACTATTGCTGGATATTGTACTACTATTGGTGGATCTTGTCCTACTATTGGTGGATATTGTCCTACTATTGGTAGATATTGTCCTACTATTGGAGGATATTGTCGTACTATTGGAGGATATTGTCCTACTATTGCTGGATATTGTCCTACTATTTGTGGATATTGTCCTACTATTGGTTGATATTGTCCTACTATTGGTGGATATTGTCCTACTATTGGTGGATATTGTCCTACTATTGGAGGATATTGTCCTACTATTCCTGGATATTGTCCTACTATTGCTGGATATTGTTCCATACTCGGACGTTGCTAATGCACTATCTTCGACAGTATAACATGTTTTACAGAATGGAATATACTTTAATTATAGTGTTTCAGTTTAAAGGTATTGTCGAGGTCCTGGATATATGACGTCATTTAAAAAGATTCACTGATGTTTTAACATATGGGTAAATCAGAGCAACATCACTGCCCCTAAAAGATGTAGGATTATTTAAAGGACATTATATGTAAAAGGATTAAGGCTGGGTTTTAGTAAATAATGTCATAGCTTAAAAGAACAAAATAGTCCTTCGCTCGTACTCATCAACCAAGAATGTGACATTCGTTCCTTGGATTGAAGTGATCCTATATTTGTTCGTATCGTTACCGTAACTCGGTTAGTAATCTGTGTAAGATGAAAGGGGAAGAAATTATCGGATATTTTCTCTTGGAGTTGATCATTATTGTAAGTAAGATGATAGTGAGAGAAGATATCGGATATTTTTCCACGAGGAAATAATTATTATAAGAAAGACAAAACATTAAAATGGGGTCATTCTGGGGTTGTGTCGTATGGTTGTCTAGTATTATATATTTTCACCAATAACATGTGTACAATCCATGCTTTCCTTGCAATAATGTCGTGATGAAACGGTCATATGTAAACAAAAAGCTGAACTAAATCTGCTCGACATTAATATGCTCATGTGAAAAGTTGGAATACCAATTTGTTGACACCAGTTGTTTGGTTGTTTAAATGTGGTCGTCCTTGGTCTGTCGCCTGTCCTTAAACAATTATTGTTTATACTATTTTAAAAAAAAAGACAGATCTTTCTCAAATTTCATTTGGAGATTTCCCTTGGTCCGTAGATTTGAAATGTGTTATTTTTAGATTGGCGAGGGGAAAGATGGTCACCAGAAAGACATCTTAATTTCTTGACAGTTCAAGTTTGTTATCGCTATTTCTCTGGAAGTACTTCACAGAGCTATTTTTAACACTTTATATGTACTAGCAGATTCCTCTTGGTCCCATATTGTGCCTGTTTTATTTTTAGACTGATTGCAAAAACATGCCAGACAACCATATTGTAATTTGAAGTTCAAGTTGGAAAAGAGGAGACAATATCAAAATCTAACACTCGTCAAATGTCCTAGGGTGCCACAATGAAGTGATCGATATTGTCATTAAGTTTGACCTAGGGTGTGACAATGAATTGATCGCTATTGTCATTAAGTTTGTCGTAGGGTGTGACAATGAAGTGATCGCTATTGTCATTAAGTTTGTCCTAGGATGCGACAATGAAGTGATCGCTATTGTCATTAAGTTTGTCCTAGGGTGTGATAATGAAGTGATCGTTATTGTCATTAAGTTTGTCCTAGGGTGTGATAATGAAGTGTTCGCTATTGTCATTAAGTTTGTCCTAGGGTGTGACGATGAAGTGATCGCTATTGTCATTGAGTTTGTCCTAGGGTGTGATAATAAAGTGATCGTTATTGTCATCAAGTTTGTCCTAGGGTGTGTCGATGAAGTGATCGCTATTGCCATTAAGTTTGTCCTAGGGCGTGACAATGAAGTGATCGCTATTGTCATTAAGTTTGTCCTAGGGTGTGGTAGTGACGTGATCGCTATTGCCATGCCGTAGGTTCATGTCACTATAAAAAAGAGGTTTCAATTAGTTTTGCAAATTAAAGGACTATAAATATCAATTTAGCGCCACATTCAAGTTCAAGTTCTTTATTCACCAAAAGTCTTAAGACTTATAGGTACAAAGTAATCATGATACATTGTACATGTATATATGTTATAGGAGAGTGACTATAAGCATACAAGTGCAAACTAAACAAAGAACATAATACAAAAGCACAAAAATTATAAATACGTGTAGCTAATTAATCAATTTCGCCGCTTAGTGGCTAGATATAAATATTTACCTAGATTTGACAACTCTTTGACATTATTTACAGATAAAAGTTGGACAAGTTTGTAAACAGAGGGACTCTTATAATAATACTTCTTTATATACTTTAACCTCAAATCATTATAAAAAGGACATACAAAAATGAAATGAAATTCGTCCTCGACGTCTCCCAAATCACATTTGCTACAGTTTCTATTTCTGCGAATGATATTATTGTGTCTACCCTTTTCGATATTCAGTTGATGAGACGACGTTCTAAATTTAGTTAACATATATTTGTATTTTGTTTCAATATGTTTACGGAGATAAAACTGAATACTATGACTGTCTATAAGATATTGATATAGTCTACCTTTTGATGAAGCTGCTATCTTTGCCAACATATTTTGCTTAGGAACATCTTTCAATCTGTGTTCAATAATTTCAAAAGTGTTTACCAATGGTAGATTCAATTCAAAAATATAACATTAGAATGAACGCTTTGACAAGTGGAGTAGAGTAGACCCCTTCCGTAATGACAGATACAAAAACAGATCAACCAATTATAGTAGTTACAAACGGAATTCCGACAGTCGGTTGAAATTGTCTTCCAATAATTTAAAAGAAAAGTTGACAAAACAAACGTTGATCACGCTGACGAATAGAATATATCCTTTCGGATAACATGTTTCTATTACCTACAGGACATTTGTGTGAGTTTTAGACACTAGTCACTTATTTGAGCCGGGATTTAATTGTAGCATAAAAGTCATCCTTTAATTCATATTGTACTGATGCCTTCACTTGAATAAGCAGACTCACAGTATTATTGGAGAACGCCTTTATGTCTTGTTTTGACAGGAGACCCCATGACGGTTACCGTATATTGTACGGGAATCGTGCAACTTCATAATGGGTGGGTTTTTTTCAAATTATTGAGATATTGTAATTCACTTTCAGAAAATACCCATAGCTTAGAGGTATCAGTTTCCTGTGGAGGTGAATTTTCTGGAAAAGTTCCGGTCATTATACAGCCAAAGAACCAATGCTCGTGTGCCGTACCACACAGCAACTCCACGGCATGGATTTCAAAAGTGTGCTTCCAGGCAGAAGAATTACATTTCATCGTTGAGGAAAACACTAAATCCGTTCGACTAGGGAATGTAGCTTCTTGCGAGTTTGGACATGGATTCAACAGGACATATACTATTAAAGCAGGTAGGTTTCGTATTATCGAAAAGTATTTACTGTACTTAAAAAAGCCTTACAAAGTTTTCATTTTAATATATTTATATTTCTCTGTGATTTATGATGTCTTTCAATGTGCTTGGCTCAACTCGATCCCTGTCTTGAACCCGAGGAAAATGTTTAGAAATAAGCTGAATTGTGGGAGTAAGTGATGAGAGCTGGTCATCATACATGTGCTAGTACAGTCTGCTGAGCGGTTGGAGTTGAGCTAGGAATAGGGGTGAGCTGGTAGTGAAACATATCAAGTTAAGAGTAAAACTTGTAGTAAGCTGGTGCTCTTATACGGTCAGCAGAGTGTAATAGTGAGTTGGTAGTCTCATCATTTTAACGTCTGGATTGATTGTTGTTTTGTGTCCTACCCACAAATAATGCGATCATATGGCAATTACTCTAGAGCCACTCGATAATTCAGAGTGCCTTCACATCACATCTTCTCAGAGCTGATCAGACACAAAATGGGGTTAATGAGAGGGAGAAAAGGGAGACCCAAATATTGTTCATAACCAGTAAAACAATGTGATGCATTTGATGTCCTAAATCAGAGGGTATAAAGCACCGGTCTACTATTGGGTCGATTTGGTGTCCTAAATCAGAAGGTACAATGTATAAAGGGCCGGTCTACTATTGGGTCTATTTTGTGTCCTAAATCAGAGGGTATAAAGCGCCTGTCTACCAGTGGGTCTATTTGGTGTCCTAAATCAGAGGGTATAAAGCGCCGGTCTACTATTGGGTCTATTTGGTGTCCTAAATCAGAAGGTATAAAGGGCCGGTCTAGTAGTGGGTCCATTTGGTGTCCTAAATCAGAAGGTATAAAGCGCCGGTCTTCTAGTTGGTCCATTTGGTGTCCTAAATCAGAGGGTTTAAAGAGCCAGTCTACTATTGGGCCCATTGGTGCCCTAAAGGAGGCACGGTAGTCTAGTGGTAGGACGCCGGGCTCGTGACCGAAGGGTTGCGGGTTAGAGTCACGGCACGGCACTGTGTTGTATCTTTGAACAAGATACTTTACTCCGCTTGTTCCAGTCTACTCAGCTGTAAATGAGTACTTGTTTGGACAGTGCTAGAATTGTTGAATGCTAGCTGTGAGCGCCTACATGGCAGCACTGGCTGTATGCTCCCCAGGAAGATATTGGCTGGATGCAAAGGCCTATTACCACGGATATTAAATTGTGAACCGCTTTGAGACGACCTACGAACTAGGTTGTGATAAAGCGGTATATAAGAACCTCGAATTATTATTATTATTATTATTATTATAAAATCAGAGGGTATACAGTGCCGGTCTTCTAGTGGGTCCATTTGATGTCCTAAACCAGAGGATATAAGCCCTAGTCTTCTAGTGGGTCAATTTTGTCTCCTAAATAAGATGTTTTAATGTAAAGCCCCGGTCTCTCAATGGGTCCTAAATACTCGGTCTACTGTTGCGTCCTAAAAACCCGGTCTATTAGCGGGTCCTAAGTCCCCGGTATATTAGCGGGTCCTAAGTCCCCGGTCTATTAGCGGGTCCTAAGTCTCCGGTCTATTAGCGGGTCCTAAGTCCCCGGTCTATTAGCGGGTAATAAATCCCCGGTCTACTAGTGCGTCCACTTTGTGTCCTTAAATAGAGGGTACTTTGTGTCGCCTCGCTCTACTAGTGGGTCTGACTTACTTAACATACAGCAAACACTCCCCCTTTCTGTAATATTGTTCTCACAATTATTATTTTTGATGACAGAAATAAAGTTGGTAAATGTAGAAAAAATAATATTTTAAATTGGTTTCTTTGTAGCCGTATGTGCAAAGAGGCTAGACGACGCAAAACAATACGTGCGCATCATCTTAAAACAATAGACATGTCCATATGTATATATTATTGATTTATTTGACAGATGTAATATAACTTGTATCCTTACTTTTGTTGTTTACACGGGTCTGTTGAGGAGAACATTGCACCCTGATAACAAAAATCATCGTGTCTTACTATTTAGGTTTTCTTGGCCAAGAAACAAAAGTAGGTGAACTTGGATTTTTTTCATTACCATGGCACAGTAGAGGAAGCCTTGTTTGATCCGAGAAGCCTAAAAGATGATTATGGTAGACACTACAGTGATTGGGTAACATATTTTATAAACACATATGACTTCGTATTCCCGTTCAGGCACAGTTCTGTCTAGCCATTCAATACACCATGTTTTAAACGGGCGACAACATGTGTCTCTTTTGTCAGAAAACGCATCTGCCCAAGCTCCGTTTAATGCCAGCGGAAATTGCTTCCGTTTGTGATCTCCATACTCCGAATATAAACCCATGGGGTTGTGCTGGAGGTATTTAAATTCACACAGCTAGAATTAATCAATTTTCTCATCCCCTTAATTTCTAGCGTTGTTTTGGTAAATCTTTAGTTAATTGAATGTGTTCAGGAGTATCTGCGTTACTCCTTTTTCATGCATTATTACATGTCCTTGTCAAGGAATTGGCATTTTCTGTCGTTATATTACCTTCCCATGGTTCTAGACTTAAGTATTCAATCGACCAATTCTTTATAGCGAAAAAAACTATTGATTTTTCAGGATCAATCTGCAAAATGTAATTCATATGACATGTGATTTTTCACGCATAGTGTTGGCTTCAATGTAACCGATACTCTGTAGAAATATACTAGTTCCGTGTAACTATATCTCTGCAGCGTACTCTGTAGCGTGAAATATACCAGCTTCCGTATAACTAGCACTCTGTAGCGTGAAATATACCAGCTTCTGTATAACTGGTACTCTGTAACGTGTATATACCAGCTTCCGTATAACTGGTACTCTGCACCGTACTCTGTAGCGTGAAATAAACCAGCTTCCGTATAACTGGTACTCTGTAGCGTGAAATATACCAGCTTTCGTATAACTGGTACTCTGCAGCGTACTCTGTAGCGTGAAATATACCAGCTTCCGTATAACTTGTACTCTGTAGCGTGAAATATACCAGCTTCCGTATAACTGGTACTCTCTAGCGTGAAATAAACCAGCTTATGTATAACTGGTACTCTGTATCGTGTATATAACAGCTTCCGTATAACTGGTACTCTGTATCGTGTATATACCAGCTTCCGTATAACTTGTACTCTGGAGCGTGAAATATACCAGCTTCCGTATAACTGGTAATCTGTATCGAGAAATAAACCAGCTTCCGTATAACTGGTATTCTGTATCGTGTATATAACAGCTTCCGTATCACTGGTACTCTGTAACGTGTATATAACAGCTTCCGTATAACTGGTACTCTGCAGCGTACTATGTAGCGTGAAATTAACCAGCTTCTGTATAACAGTTACTCTGTAGCGTGAAATATAACAGCTTCTGTATAACTGGTACTCTGTAGCGTGCAATAAACCAGCTTCCGTATAATTGGTAATCTGTATCGTGTATATAACAGCTTCCATATAACTGGTACTCTGTAGCGTGAAATATAACAGCTTCTGTATGACTGGTACTCTGTAGCATGAAATATACCAGCTTCCGTATAACTGGTACTCTGTATCGTGAAATAAACCAGCTTCCGTATAACTGGTACTCTGTAGCGTGAAATA